TGACCACATTGCCATAAGTTACAGATGGCGTTGTTCCATCCTAGATTGCCGCGAGTTTTAAATTATGCCTACGTGGATTCTGATCATGCATTGGTACGCTCACGTTTCTTTCTGAACGTTAAAGTGACGTACACCAAGCGTCTTCCCCAATTGGCAACTGAGAGGTTATCTCAGCCCTTGGTCAGGCAAGCTTATCAAGACGCATTGTTTACCAAACTTTCGCTGTCGCATCATATTGACACAGCCTCAGCGGAACAGCTTCTCGGCAGCCACAGAGGACGCAGGAGCATCTGTTTGTGGAATTATCATTTTTTACATCATCAGTCGCCGAACGTCTGAGAGGTCAGTTAGCTGTTGGAATCCTGAAGAATCCTCTCGACTGGCTCTGAACACAATGTGAGCAGGCGCGCTATTAGGCGCGAACTAAAGCAGAGCCTACGTGCTGACATGAAAGCCTGGTGGACCAGTAGGGCTCAAGAAATGGAGGAGGCAGGCGCAGTAGTCAGTTATTTTATACTCTTCAAGCTGATCCACATCATTGGTACCAGAAAACCAGGCGTCAGTGATGCAACCAGAGACAGCGTGTGTGCACCGATACACAATAGGGAGCGCCGTATGGCTCGTCAGGCCGAGCACTTTTAAGATCAGTTCAGTTGGCCACCTGCGGTTGGATCTCTTCTTACTCAGGTTATGTAAGATGAGCTATGGCCGGTTAATTTAGAGGTTCCATCGGAGGCTTAGGTCCGAAACGCGAGCACAGACCTCAATTATATTCCCATCGTTGTCCGCGGATTTCCTCCAACCTGCACTATTTGAGGATGGGGGGGGAGAGGTTCTCTGCCAAACATTTCCTTCTCTATTCGCACCTCTCTGGAAGTAAGAAAGTGTCCCGGCTAACCTGAGCGAATCGATTATAGTGGAAATATACAAGTAGGACAGTCGCACAGACTCTTCTAACCACAGGGCTATTAGCCTAACTCCAGTTGTGACAAAATTACTGGCCTTGATTATAGTTCGTCGCCTCACTGTGGAACGAATCACGTATTAGGAAAGAGCAGGTAGGTTTCCGCCCTGGGCGTTTCTGTATAGACCATATATTCACTCTGCGGCAGGTGCTAGAGCAACGACACGCATAACACAGGCCGAAAATAGCTGTGTTCCTCCATTTCAAGGGTGCATTCTATTCAGTCAATCGATGGTTTCTTTACTAACTATTTGCTTAGGAACGTGTTCCCACGAAATATGCGTACGCCTTACCTGCTCTATACTCGAGCACTACGCTCGGTGTCAGGGTCTATGGTGACCTGTGTGATAGCTTTCCGTCCACAAGTGGCGTTCGTCAGAGTTGTCAGACTACCCCAGTTTTGTTCAATTCTGTTGTGGACTCTATCTTGGAGTGTTTCATTGCGGAATCTCACGATGTAGGCGTTGAAGGTCTGTCTGGTGAAAGGTTAGTTTATGTTGATTATGCGGACGATATCAGCTTACTCTTCGAAGATGTTGCGGAGGCACCATCAAACCTGAATAGCCTGTCTACAGTGGTCCCATTATTTGGTATGCGCTTCGCACCTTCAAGGTACAAAGGTAGTTATAATCAGTCTAGTTCCTTAGAACAACAGGTAGCAATGAATAAATTGTGCTGGCTTTGGCATGTACTACGTATGCGTGGCCATCGCCAGATGTAGGGTGGTGCGGGACTCAAAGTGGAAAAAGTGATTTGGCAGCGTGAATGAAAGTCATTGACGTCGAAATTGGGTGCCGTTGGTCCGTCTTGCCTGCCGGGCTGGAGTACGCGTGACTCGCCTTGTGATTGGCTTGAGACTTTACAGGGCATGGCTTTCAACGGACACGTGGCGCGTTTGCTGCCGTCTCCTAGTCGGATTGCCTGTTTACAGTGTGCTTGGTACTGGGCTATTTCCGTGGTAATAGCTGATTATGAGGCGGGGCAGTGAAAGCCCCAGGGACACTGTCTCGCGTTTGTCGACTTATATTTGCGCGTTAGTCAGCTGTTTGTGACGTTACGTTGTTGCCATTGGGTGTAGGCGCCTAACCCTAAGTGTGTTTAGAGCATTAATGTTTTCAGGCAAGTCCCCCTTCTCTCCCTCTTCTTATTCTTTATTTCCTAGACCCACATGGTTGTATGGCAGCGAAGCATCAGTACAAATGGCTGATGTACCGCTGTTGTTGCTTGTTGTTTGGCATGAGCTAGAGCCATATCATTTTTACTAACAATCTTGCTGATCAATCCAAATTGTATTGGCACAATTGCTGCGGCCGGGAGAAGACAGACACAGACATCGCCTCCAAAGGAAAACGTACTGCTTTGCACTCTATTTAGATGACTTGCAATGTGTGGTAGCCTTGAATTGTCGCTTAGATGGAGCCATGCAATGCTGTCAACTTATACAGTTTGAACCGAAATCACTAAATACCCAATTTTATATTTCAAACTTTAAGCGTATGATGGTTTTATAAATTCGTGGGGCCTTTCAGTATTTCATACGCTAATTATGTTGACCGTAAATAAGATAGCCTCTTGTTTAGAAACCGCAGCTGAAACCTTTAGAACACAAAAACATGTTGCCTTGCTGCAGGTGTATTTGACAATGAATTTCGATTCTTTGTAAACCTTCATCACTGTAAAAGCAATCACTTTTGTGAAGCTTGAAGTTTCATTGTTTGATTTTACTACCTTCTGAAAATAGGCTTTCATTATGAGAAATCTTGGAATATGGCAAAACGTCAATTTACCATCTTCACCTCTTGTCTTGGGCTAAGCGGCGAAATACTAATAAAATTCTACTGCTGTTACTATATTTTCCATTTTTAACCAAGAAATATTTGTGCTATTTTTGCTCGGTTTACCTTCTCCCATAAACTGCTAGAAAAGCGCAAATCACGGCACAATGTCTAGGATTGATGACGATACTTTCTCAGCCAAATCACCAAGCTCGGAGAACGCCATAACTGCTGATTTGCCGGATTACACAAGAAAATCCAAGAATTAGGTTGACGGTATCTAGGCTAGCTTGTCTATGTTATTTCGGCAATTGCAACGCAGTCCCCATAAGCGATGAAATGTTCAACAAGTACTGACTGCGAAAAGGTTGAATGCTTGAGTTCTGTGTCGGAACATCAACATCGGTGCAGATTGAATTTCTCATGTGGACATTGACGTTCCCTTGATTGATTTCTTTTTTCAAATGGTCGTTCGTTTGGAATAGTGTTGAAACCTATCTAACTAATACTGTGGCGCTCTGAGAAAGAAAAAGTTTCAAATTTGCAACGCATTCTGTTTGTAAAATTTATACCTCAATTGCTAACCGGAGCTTGCCTGATATGGTAGAGATTTGCGTGGCAATGGAATGAGAGAGAATTACACGGAACAGCAAGCCAGTGAGCGCTTCTCTCAGCAGGACTGACGCCCACATTCTGATTACTGACCGCAATGCCTCACGTTTCTCTGATTTGTGTTTATTTCGCTAACCCACTCTCAATTGACTGGGAAAACCGAAAGGAATGCATATTATATAAACGGCCATTTTGTAAATGTGTGACCCCCCAATACAGCTCACTCGACATACATTTGGTATTCAATGGTTATTGAGCTGCGATGCGCGGTTCACAATGCACAACCAACTGTATACCGTTGTGTGCAACACTGCTAGCGGAGTTCGATAGCCGATCGATCATGGCGATCTCCGCCAACCGTGATGTGCCGATTTCCACTCCAAAGCCATTCTATCTCAACCTCATGGGTCCAAAAAAGCAATGCACTCGTCGTGGAGTGCTGCGATCTTGGAGAGCAACACCAAAACCTTTCCCGTTAAGGAGATTCATCGAGATAACTTATACATGGGAACCTTAACAAACAGCCAGTTCACTTGCTTTCAACAATGCATTAATCCAAACAGAAGGACCCAGATACTGTATAAGCCTATCATACGCAATGATGAGTTCATGCCGCTCATTTTATGGACTCATCTTTTTCCCGAACAAGTTACAGCTTTTGCAACTATCAAAATCAGTGCAAACAACACTCTACTGCTCGATCAGCTTTTCATGTATACAACACAAACAAAAGTTACTGGAGGTCTGTCGAGAGAAGAGCTTAAAGTGCAATTTATATCTATCACGCAACAAAGTATTTGTGGTATGACTACGCGTGGGCTACTGATCGTAATCGTCAAATTATCCTCTCCCACTTGGTCAGCAAAGCATTCCACTATGGTATGATACAGGAACCGAAATTCCCCACTATTTTGATATCCTTTTTGGCATTTCATATGACTTAGTTCCTTCGAATTTGTTGACTTGCAAGCCAGGTTGAGCTGTCAAATTGCAGCATTATTTCACTAGACCAAACGATTTCATCGGTGCAGCATAGTTAACGGCTTCGTGGCTAGTGCACTAAATTAGAATTATGGTATCTACTGGCACCAGTCAGGAAAAAATAAAATAGCATTATGGTTTTAAGTCTCTATCAGTTTGTTCCTCGAGATCGTATAAACTATTTGATTCTTCCTGTTTTGTACAATGAATGCCAAATGGGTTTCTGAAGCGGATGGCAGTTTGAAATTATTAGAGAGTTTAAGAAACTGGGAACAATAACATAAGTAGGTTTAACCGAAAGTTTAAGTAACTTAATACCGTCATCCATGGAACTCTCCCCCGGAGGACCTGCTATCATGGGGAGTATACTCTCGATGGGTTTCACGCGCACTTCCATACTACAACTGTCTGTGTGTCGGTGTCATAAAATAGCAACTAAAACATCACCCGTCAGAGAAATGTTTTTAATGCATTAGCTATTTTATACAAAATTACGGATGATGAAGCCTTAGCCTACCTACTGGTTTTGAAAAAGTGACCATGTTATTCACTTCAATTTTCGTAATGTTTTGGCTTTCTATGATTGTACCTCAGCGTTTTCAATTGCTCCGCTTTATGGAAATATTCAAAGGAAATTGCTTTCTTTTTGCTTAAATCAATGATTTCAGGGTACCGAGTACGACATGGGCGACGTAGTGCATTGCCTTGGAATTACCATCGAAGGAACGGTTGAGAAGCCATCCCCATCATCTCAGTATGAGTCTCATCATTACATTGTCGAAGTGCTACCAGAGAGCTGCGACGGAATTCGAAACATCCTACTTCCAGGCGACGAACTCTTACAGGTGCTTGTCTGTAGCATTGTCGACTTGTTTTCGACCACATTTTTTGCATTTTTGACTCATTTGCTCAACGTTATTTTATAAGCTGTTGTGCACTCATGCGCTATGAAGGCGAATTCTATAATATGTGAACATCACTTGCCAAGTGAGCACAATAATATCTTATGTCAACTCTGCACAAACCCACCTCTAATGACCTAAACACTGGAGGATAAGCACAAAGGAGAATTGGGGGTCTAGACGTGATATTTGAATTGCATGAGCGCGATTCCATTACCATGATATAAGCAAGTAACCATACTTGAATTTGCCAAATTACTGGCTGCGGTACAGAGGTAGGATGCTTCAGTTCGTTCAAGCTTTGAAAATTTGGAGGCTGAAACCCACTAATTGTAAACAGACTGAGTTTGTTGACAGCCTCACCCTGCTTTACTATAGCTGTTGGCCCCTTGTTTCTTCCAAGCGGATTGCCGGCGATCCTCATATGGACTTTGACCATTTTCGATTATCCAATAACGTTGCACCTTGAATGTCTCTGTATTCAGCTACTCTCCGAGTCGTATGCAAAATGGTTCATAAGTAAAAATGAAATTGCTGTATTCAGCTTATCCTGACGTAACGTTGTTTTTTCTTGCCATTTTAATATTTGTGAAGGGAAGCTCTTTTATGAGATTCTGTTATAGTCTGGAATGTCGCGCCGCAACGCTTCGATAGGATGTTTTGCACATGAGCGATCATAGGGCGTTATCAAGAAGGTGAGGTTTAATCACCAGTTTAATCACTGTAAAGTACCTAACCATTACACAGTAGAGACTAATGTTATTTATACGTTGTCGGTGAATTTTATATTTATGCTCTCGTTCACGGTGACTTTATTATTTTCATGGGTGCTCTTCTATTCCTTACGTTCGAGTAAGTATATATATATTTACTCGAAAGTAAAGAACATATATATATATATATCTGTATACAGTCCACGAACACTTCCGATCAACCAAGATGATTTTTTACTGGATTTATAAAAACTGGTTTGACTTTGCTCGATATAGTGTCCCCCAGTCCATTAATTAGCAGATACTTCTCCAGCAGATTTTTTCGTCTAGTAAACCAGGAGTCTTGATTAGTTGATTTCTTGGATAACTGTAGCTTGCACCCATCAAACTAGCATTCCGTTTATTCAACTACAGTCCACACTTTAATAACGGTTTTCTAACTATGTATCTGGGCTGTCAGTCAAGAATAGGCTGAATGTTGCAATATTTTAACAATGTCCAAGATAACTATCAACATTTTTGTTTCCGACTATCCGACCGTACGCCCCTCTTCACCAAGAATATAAGGCCATCTTCTCGGGGCAGCTGATAAGCATGCATATCACGCATCAAATTCAATGCAATGTTTTATTTTCCATTTTGTATCCAACAACGAAAAGCGACTAACATCAACAAACGTTATTTTTCCCACCTGAAGATGCACGTTTTCCCGTAAAGCCTGTTATGTGGGACTAACCGCAATGGTTCTGCCCATCTGTGGACACTTATTCTAACTTTCTCGGAATTTTTATTACCTTCCAACCGCATGTATTATTCCGATGTTTATATTAGACTCTTTATCACAAGTAAATGTTTGAATGATTCTGGCCGTGCCTCAACTAACTGATACCCAGCAACATGTCACCGACTGTTTCAGTACATACTCCATCCTGTGTCTGCAGTCATTTTCCCGGACTTTGCAACTAAATCAATGCAAAAGGCAGAATTCAACAGTGGCTGGTTGTTACTTAGTGAAGAGGCCGCAACGGCGTGCGGCTGTCAAAGCTAGAACAGTATGTTCCCTGTTCATTAAACCGTGGGCGATATAATTACTGGAGGAAAATGATGGATGAGTAAGGCAGTTACTTCGAGTTCTCTACCGTCTATGACTTGACTCTTGATGGTCTGGATTGGATGGCTGATCCCCTCTGCATTTTGAGCATCTGTTCATCATTATCTCCAAAATACTGGATCCCAAAATTTGCTAATAAAATATTAGACACATATTAAGCATGTAGTTTGTTTTGCGATAACGCAGCATTAACGCTGCCTACCTTCCGCCTGGTTTTTAGATGAACATATTAACCTTGTTGTCGTATTTCCAGACGAATGGTTATATTATTAAAATGGACACATTTATAGGCAGTATGAATTTGAAAAGCCACTATTTTATAAATTCCTCTGGAAGCTCAGTTAGAAAATGTATTTTACTAAACGTTTAGACACATAATGGGAGAATTTAGATGAACTTGCCTGAAAATGCTCGATTAACCAGGACAAATTTGGTTTTGTTGCTAATGAAGTACCACATCGGTTTTCGGCTACACTGTCGCTTGTAACCTAATCAAAGTGGATGTGAACGGTAGTGAGACCATCGCAGTAGTGGAACTACGCTGCTTTTCAAGTTTATACATTCCGAATATGCTCCTCACTTTATTTAGCAAAACCAGCATTGCTAGTCGAAGTGGAAAACTACTTGGCTACATTTTGACTCTTTTACTAGTAGAAATATTTTTAACTTGGCTACCAAGTTTTCACTTATGTGCTCATCTTAGTACCTTGTAACAATTCCACTTTCTATTGCTTCCTATTGTATGTAAATAAAACATGGCAGAAAAAGTATGAGGTTTCCCGCACAATGTGCCTATTGATCGTGTTTCATTTGTGTAGCGTTCAACTCTGGCTATTTCGCAATAGGAATATTAACTGACCATGGCTATCCGACATCCCAATGAATCAGCGTCAACTGAATTGGCAGTTTTTAACTAACTGCGAACAAAATTATGGGCGACAGAATTGACCATTGCTGCTGTCGGACAGCGCCCATAGTTGTGCGCACAAACTGGTATTTAATGTTGCCTACGTGGTATTGATACTAGCTTGAATTGTGGGTCATTAACACATATAATGAAGTAGGCCTGTTTAAGATGAGGACGCCCGACAGGGATGATAATTTTTGACTTTACTTGTGTGATTTATTGTTGTCCCATGGGTAGACAAAGTGGTAGCCAGCATCAAAACCGTTGCGACTTCAGGTGCGAATGTGGACAAGAACTCGGAAATGCAAGATGTAGGAAACTTGTTCAACTGTCCGCCTGGTGCAATAGGCCAGAGTAACGGGCCAGAATTTTACGGAAAGGATGCCGAATCGATCTACAAATAATCGGTGTCTATCATGGTAACAGCAGCACTCGAGGTTTCCCCGACCGCAGAGTGCATAGTTTACTGTGGCAGCGGAAGCATAATCCTCTCATTCCGTGGGAATGGTAAGAGAACAACGTGCCATAATTTGTGTCAGCTGGTGTGTTTGCTATTTCCAACTGCTAACTGTGTGTAATTTTTTCATATTCATGGCAAAATTTGTAGCATATGGCTTCGTACATCAAATTTTTACCATGCCCCTCTACATATGTTCTCAGATAAACAAAAATATTCTTCTTCACGAACCACACTTGGAAGTTGCTCGACTACTGCATGAAGCACCCAGTGTAGGTTATTTGATTTGCGCGAGACCAAAGCACCCGATCTCCATAGAACCGATCATTGAAGAGGAGAAGACGATGCCTGAAACAGAGGATATTCAGGAAGAAAGCTCTTCAGATAACACGCTTGGATCCGATCAGATAAGTAGCGACAAAGGTTTCAAGACTAGCACCTCAGCCTCGGAGCAGACATCTGACGTAGATAAATTTCCTCAAGCTCCTCGTATTCTGTATTCTAGCCGGTCGAAGCCGACCGACACCAAGTTGCGATACTCCCCGACAGATGAAACAGAAGTGTTTGTGACGAACCAGACTACATCGGATGAAGTATGTTCATATGAGATTCAGATACACTATTGTCTAATCTATTTTGTAATACGATTAAACCGTAAATAACGAAAATGCAAAGCTCGTCTTTAGGATTCGTTTTATTTGTTGCACGAAAAAATACGTGCTTCGTGCATTGGAAGCTCGAAGTACTGAAATCTACGAAACTCATGGATGATTTGGTTTATTATATCACGGAAACATGTCGTACGCGCTGAACTTTTAGAGTATACTGATGCTCTGTAACAGTTCACTACGTCTGAAACCCGCTCAATGTTTGTCTAAATGTTTTAATTTCATCGGCAAATACTGTTTGCATTTTGTTGAAAAATTTGGTTTGTTTGCCTTTCTTAGAAGAAATGTCATGCAAGGCAATGCAAAACAAACACTCGTTTCATTACGTTGTTTTATTAATTTTCAAGCAGTATTTTCTAGGCACTTCTGTTTAATGGTCACAGCTATTTTAACCCAAACTGAATATATATGCTTGTTTAAATGTTCTCCTTTAGCTGGGGTAAATCCATCTTTGATTATCCAAGATTTTAGATGTACCCTGCGCAGTTGTATCCTTTTCCTAGCAATTGCTTCCTTTTCGTTGGAAATGACTACAGTTGATACGATTTTCTATACCCACCGTACTTGAGATTGAGTATCACCCAGCATTGTTGCTAACGAAAGAGCTTCTTTCTTACTCAAATTGCGTTATTTTATGATGAGTTCTCATTGGAATAGCAATGTATACACCGAGCCAAATGTGCAAACTGGGGCTTACGGATGTTGTTACATTATCCGTGCTATATTGGTAACTCGGTAACCATATGAGAATAATCCATCCAAAGCGTTGGAATTCTGGTTTCATCTAATTGCATAGATGGGTTGTGGAAAGATTCTGCTTTGTGTGCCGTATTCAAGCATCGACATTGATTCAAGAGTCTAGTCATCTGTCTTGCTACATCACCGTAGCTTTTGTACTAGCAAAGGCTGGCTTCTGTGAAGCTAATGATCCTGTTCATCAAATTTCGCGTTGTGCTCTGATATTGACAAGCAATTGATCATGGCGAATTCAGTTTGTGTTGACATTTCAGGTTCAGAATTAACCAAAACCGGCTTTTTGCTGACTAGATAGCACAAAGATATGCAGGTTTGAATGCACAGATTTAGGGTATCCACACTCCCCAAGTGCTTAAAATGACATTTTCCTCGGCGAGGATATGCCAGGTCTAGGACAAGAAATCACGTTAACTAAGACTGGTTGCCTATTTCGCTATTGTTTCGTGCTTTCTCAAGGTTACCACGCTCCGTTTATAGTTCTCTTGTAAATAGTGAGTACGATCGCAAGCATCCGATTATTTTAGGTTGTTCAACTACTTTGGCATCTGCAGATAGTAGTATTCTGACATTGCCCACTTGACACGTGCAGCTGAGCCGTCAATGACTGTTTTTTTGCCTTGAGGTTTTATTATCTTATCCTGTGTATTAACTCAGTGGTATCCAACTCTCTTTCTACAGAAGGTCGCGCTGCTCATGCTTGGACATTATGGTCCATTTATCTGTTAAAATAATGAGCCACAGACTAAGTTTGGTTAAGGTGTGCTCATCAATCCCCACTCAGCACTCCATTGTTGTTGTTGCTCTCTACTATGATTTCACACGCAAAGCAAAATATTTCGTTCTCTAACTGCAGTGTGACGTAGCGTAGCACAGTGCAGTAAATTATTCATCGCTGTCCGTGTGGAGGTGATCATTAACGCATATAGTATCTCACTTTATATCCGGATATTGAATGATGTCTACTGCAGCGTTCAAATCAGCTGCATTATGCATGCGAACAAATTTGACAGGCATTAAGCAGCGATTGAAAGTATATAGAGGGTAGTAGCACGATGTATAACTACTGACATGGTCAAAAATGTGTCCAAATTTTGGTTGCGTCACCTTGAGCCTCATGTATGAACCAGCGTTTTGCTCTTTGCTTCAGCATTACTAAGGTTCTACACATCGCACTGGTGTATTCGTTTAGTAACAGTATGTGGTGTACGTAAAACGTCAGGATGTTTCAGGAATAATGATTGAATTTGCACATGTCCTTTGAGTGTCATGCGAATGTAATGTGTTTCAGAGACCGCTTCAACCGGAAGTTGGATATTGGTTGAGGTGATTCGAGTAATTGCAAATTGAAGGATTAACCGTATCTCATAACGAACGTATTTTGAAACCTTAAAACCTTATGTTAATCTAATCATCGCTTGAACCATAATTTTCTCATATGATGCGAGCGGGCCTAGATCGACAAGTGATGTAATATGGACGTACTATGCTTCCAGCAACTGCTCTGTGAAAGATCTGTATTGTATAGAACATGAAATTTAATCATTTTAATTGCAAATACTTTGAAGTAATTAAATTTTCAAAGTTTAATTTGAGCTATTTCTTTGCGGTATTCACCGTATTCCGATTTCATTTATTGAACTAAACATTTGATATACTATTGCTTCACATTGTATCAACGTACACATGTTGAAGTAATTCACATGTTTCGGCATAAGATATCAGTCCTAGCCACCGTTTATGCATACCCCGAATTCGTCCGCATCTTGCTTCTCAGAGTGCTAGGTGTTTATACAGTTTTCATTCTCACTTTCCTGCTATGTGATATCTCTTCCTGGTCTTCCATGCTTTTTTTCCAAATAATGCCAACCTTATTGTTGCGCACAGCAGTAAGTTTTCCAAGATTGCCAGTAAGTACGTAATAACAATTGAGTGATATATGAGAGTACATTATATTACACAGTCATAGAAAACCAACGCAAAGGTTGAAAAACTAGATTTATGGTAGGGTTCAAAGAAATTATCTGCCTTATCATCTTGGTACGAATAGTCCAAATGGCAACCCGTGCTAATGCTCTACATGTAGAATCTCTTTTTCAAAAAATGTATACGTTATTATAGGGTTAATTTGAATTACGCGTTATATGACCGGATTGCAACGCGCAATTAGTTGATTCGCACTGAAGTGATTCCTGATCAATTACATCAATGGAACGGTAAATGAAGAAGCACGAACAAATGGGGTGTTGCCACCCGGAATCACTACACTCCAAAACGCATTCGACCTCATTTTATCTCATCATCTCTTGTCTCATCTCTGCCTGATAAGATAAAATAATGTCGAAGCGCGTCATGGAGTGTAGTATTTTTGGCGTTCGACACCCGATTGCATTATGTATACGCCATCTTTTCAAATATGACCGAAACTTTTATCGGATGTGAGCTATCTTCCGCCTTAGCTTCGTTTTGGCATTTTTTACTAATTAGCCTTATACATATTTTAAGGAATTCAGTCAAACCCAGATGCCCTGGTTAGACGCACATCCAGGGAGTCCCGAACCATTCCCTAGGAATGAAGCATTCCAAGAAAATGTCATGCAGATGATGGACTTATCCAATGCAGCGTTTACTCCTCGATTGGAGCCGACGGCAACAATGGAGTCCGGTTCATCTATCCTGTACAGATTACCCATGCCGCCGAAAATCACTTCAGTCAGCCTACAAGGCGGTGAACATGAGCGTCGATCTTTGCATCATTCAACAGCACTATCCATGCCCGATCCGCAGGCAAATAACGCAGTGAGCTTCAGTCAGACTGAACAAACTTGGCTTTTGGCGGTTTTCAAAAATACTGGAGAATGGTTAGGTAAGGAGTATGTAGATTTCCTGCTTGCACATAAACAACAAAATGATAAAAGCGAGTATCATATATACAATATTGATAAAACAGAAATACGAAGAAATTTAATGTTCATATGCAATCTCTGTTGTAAACTATACCAGTTACTTTTTGGTGTTAAAGTTTAGCTTAATCAGTTGTTTAATTAGAATTAAAATGACAGACAAAAGGTTGCTTGTTTGTAGACATATGTTATCCTGTAATTTCGTCTAGTCCGAAGAAGTAAATACTATGTAATTTAATGCCATGTGCGGTGAGTTTCTATCATAATTGAGAATTTCCTAACCGAGTTTGAGCAGGAATTACATGTTGACGGCATCCGGTTTCGGATTGCCTGTCACTGTGGCCAAACACCAGACGCCTACGTATACAAAGGGACCATGGTTGACTTGCGCTGCACCGCCCACAGATCCAACCACACACCCGATATCCAGTGTAAACCCGAAGGAATAAGACCGGAAGGCATATGGATGGGAGCCACGTTTCATCAAGCGAGGCGGCCCACACTCCTTCACATTAAACACAAGCACGTTGTTTTTGGGAATCAAGCGCACACAGGGCGGCGGCTGGACCGTAGTCCGCTCCACACAGAATGCATGGAACCACTCTTCGAGCCGAGCACGGCCGAAAGATCCGTGCACCTTGTCCCCTCCAGCATCGACCGACTGTCTCCTGGAGCCAGTGTGGACAAGGTAGTGGGTAATAGACAGATAGGCACCTAGTCAACATGTACATCAAACGCAGCCAGACCGGGGATGTCACACAACAGCCAAATTTAAACTAAAATATATTGGTAAATCATACGGCCATGCAGACATAACTGTTTGCTAAGTTAGCAAATGAAGTAAGTTGGTTTTCAGCGAATCCGCGACAAGTAGAATATGTTCGAAAGTTATACAAAAAGTGTTACAAATGCAATAAATTATCGAAGGTAAGCCCAGTTAGAGTACGCAATGATTGCAATTTAACGGAAGATTATTAATGTAGATTGACCAAACCAAATTAAGTTGAATGAATTTTGGTAGTTGAACTTTTCGCTCAGCTTGGTGATTTTGTTGCAAACGTTTCGTCACCAATCGAGATGACATCATCAGTGCGTAGTTTAGTGACATGCAATAGCGAGGAGTAGCGTAGCGGAGCCTCGGTGAATTTTATCCAGCTTAAGAGACCTAGTTTAAGTGTAAGTTGGTTAAGCCCAACTGCAGTGAAGCATCATGAATGCAACATCATCCTCAGCATGGAGCATGGTGCCTGAATTAACATGATTATATACTGTTGTTTGTGTTAAAGATGGTTTCGGGAGGCTATTGTAGGCAGATAATTGCCTCGTTGTCCTGTCAGGTAGTCTATTATGCTTCCCAATTGACCTTAGGAACCACAGGAGGACAGCACTTTTATTATGGAACGCCGAGTCAAATTAATGGGTGACAGAGGACGATCAGGGGCGAGAGAAATAGCAATCTTCTGACTTTATTGCATATTTGCTTCACGCAACGTAACCCCTAGAAATAATGTTACTGTATGACTCTCAGCTTAATTGCCTACGTGGCAACTTCAAATGCACCTAATCGATTCGAATTTAGTGACAGTCATGGATAATTAGTTTACAGCGATTCCATTATTTTAGTGACGCAAACGCTATTTAATTAGATGGATTCAGAGCCAAAAAGCGAGTGATTGACCATTACATGAGTTTATCTATGAAATTGGTTGAAGTGACCGAGGCTATCTCAGTGCATCCAAAGAGCATTTCTGCTTCTTCTTCTTCTTCGAGAAGCGAAATGTAACTAACACAATTTGGAATAAATGGGGCTAAGAAGTAGCTCGTTGGTGGGCACCGGTTTATGTCAAGTGACGAAGTGATTCTAGCTCCTAACTTGATTAACTGATTTCGTCTATTTATATATTTGGCATGAATTATATGGAAGGCTAAATATTAGACTCAGGTGTCTCTTTTAACAATTACCTGAGGTCCTCGGATTTTTACTAAGGAGCAGAGGGGATTATGGCAGCATTTCATAGGTATTTCTTCGCAGTCCGCTCTCAGTCAGCTGGCTTCAACACGCCTGGAAAACTACCAGACAGCGCTGTTTCGACCATGTAGGTCTCATCAGTAGTGCGCCTTCCTCGGACCACTGTCGGCTTCGACCACATGACTTCCGGATGCTAGCAGCTAGGGCCACTAATCTATGCCAATACTCATTAGTAATTTACAATCCGTCCGTGTAACGTCTAAGTGCTGTGTCGTACACAGTTGCTATGCGGAAATTCCTAACTCCGTGAGGCCAGCCACTATCCTCTGGACAGTTCGTAACTGGCATGGCAATGGAGGATAGGTTGGACTATCTCGTAGACAACTGTCAGTCCTGCAGGTCCACGGCCGTCACACATGGCTTAGTGGCACTAGCTGCTGGCCTCCGCGAGTCATGGAGTCCAAATCTGGCAGGAATCCGATGGAAGACACATCACTGAGGAGAGCCATTAGGTCAAAACAGCGCGGTCTGGTGCTATTCAAGACGTGTATAAGTCCGCTAGTTGAGAGGGGACATTGACGAAATGCCTCTGTAATTACAGTTCTTTGTCCAGCGACAGCACTGCAATTATTTGGTAATCCACTGCATCTTGCACAGACGTTGAACTTGAATAGGCATGCTGATATGGGCCATATACCTTGCATGGACCAGCATCCTTTTAAGAATAATATTCTCATCTACAATCGGATTTCAGATGCACCCTTAACATAAAGTCTTTTGCCTGCATATATCTCCAGTATCGGTGTTACAATAGCATTGCTCCAATAATCCTCAACCTTGTTTTTTGGTGTATGGCCTAATACTAAGGGCGTAGCTGAGTAAAGTATTCGGTGCATCCTCTGAGGATGACGGCACATGACCGAGCCGGTCTGCTCTGCTTTGCCTAAATCTAACTGCAGCAACTTCCAGTTTAGTGTTGCAACCTCAACAACTTAACTCTGTAGGCCAACGAAGCTGTACGGATGATGGGTTGGAAACAGAGTTGTTGCTGGAGCAAGTAAATTTGCCATCTAGTTCATTTTTATCCACCCCCTGATTTGTCCCATGATAGGTGACCTCACTCCAACATTTCATGTCCCGGCAAATTTCGTGGAAAAAGTTCTATTCCTTTTACTGGAAAAAGTAAGCAATTTATACTTGAACCGGACACAAACATATCTCATTGTGTCACAAACATTAGGCTTGGAGGCTCTGTTTTTACTTTTGTGAAAAATCGACATTTTGTGATAACCGGTTAGCACAAAACAAAATAATTGTTGTAATGTTGTTCGTCCCAGCTGCTCCCAGGCTGCATAGTACAGCCTAGTCTGGAAGAGCACCAGACACCTTTCGCCCAATTGGGGCTCGTCAGTGGTGCGCATTCTCTCGGTTCTTTACTGTGGATCGGACGCATGACCGCTAAAGGCGGATGTCAACTAGTCAGCAGCTGAAGCCACTGAGCCAAGGGGACCTCGACTGGGCTACCCAATTTGCAAGCTAACTGAGATATAGCACGACCTATCTTCAACTGCCACGCAGGTTACCGCCTTAGCGGATGACAGTTACAAGCTTCCGCAGCTCATGAATTTCTCTCAATAGACCCTACATCCATAGCATTTGCAACTAGGAGAGGCCGCATTTTATATTACTAATGAGTAGGAGCCTCTCCTAGTTTCACATGCTATGGACGTAGCGTCTAGTGTGATTAAGTTATGACCTTCGGAGGCTAGTAACTGTCATCTGCTAAGGTAGTAACCTACGTGGCAATGGAAGATAAGTTGTGCTATATATCAGTTAGCTTGCAAATTATGTAGCCTATTCGACGTCCCCATGGCGCTATGGCTTAAACTGCTGACTAGTTGGCACCTGTCTCTAGCGGTCATGGATTCGATCCCTGTTCGATGTGTTCGATTACAGCATCCTTGGGGTCCTCGTAGTTTGTTCATAAAATGGACGGCGCTCACTCAGACTCTTTGGTTTGCATTTTTCGATTTTTGTGAAGTTTTCGCATGCAGAAATTACGCCTTTCTCTGACAAGCACCATGGAGCGACAATAAACACGCTGACACAACCACCATGGTTTTGAGTAATCGATGAGTTTGGGAACAAGTCCTTCTATTGCTGCAACAACTTCTTCACAAATCGTAATGAAACCAGTTCTCTTGCAGCAAATTAACTCTTAGTCACAACAATTTTGCAGAGTTTTATATACCTTAATGTCTTTTCACTTTATCGAGAAAAGGCGAAAACTATTAACAAAGTATTAACTGCAGATAAATTCAAAGTGTTAACCAATGTAGAGATCTTCAACCAGCACAATGTCGTTTTTTAAGTTTACTACATTTTACTACATTCTCTCACTGCGTTTGAGATGGACTATGAAGTTCATTTCCACCTTACACCGAAAGATGTGTAAGTTTTCACAAGGCAAATAACAAAACAAATGTTTGGGAGTAAACCAGTATGTTACTAGAACACTAGAAGATATGCGATTCGATGAATACATGGTACACTCGGCGTGGATCATGATCACCGTTGGGGGCGACATCGTCTAAACAGGATATACATTAATTTTATATATGCACTTTATTTGCCTATATAATTCCTTAGGCCAAACCCAGGTACTCTAATTTTGCTTTCAGCTTTGATCCCCATGCGAATGTTTGCTATAGCTTTGATAAGTCGCAATTCATTGCTTAAATCTGTTTATTCTCTTTGCGTGTCGCTTTGAGGTGCTCGGTTCAGACAGGATCTAAATTAACCATTCTACGAATGACTTACCCTAGTTCACTTCTGTTTGGATCACATAAATTACACGGTTTAGCACTGGCGCACTCAACATTCTGCATTTACAGAAAAGGGAGAAGTATGATCTCATACTTAACCAAACTTCTAAGTGACCAGAATTTGCAGTCCTTATCTTTATCGTATTATGTTAAAAACATGCTTTGCTGACTCCACCGAGCAATGAAGTAAACTTCCTCCATCTAGCGACGCTAAAAAATCTGAATTGTTTAACACGGATAATATCTTTTGGTAGCGAAGCGGTTTTCTAATATTAATAAGCACGCTTAAATGTGGTAGATGTGAGGAAGAAGCGAGTAACCACATAGACATGAGCTTGGCAGGTGTATTAATGATGGTAATTGCTGCCTTTCTGATAGAAAAACACTCAGTTTGCATTTGCAATAACCACATTACGGTGATAAGCTCGTCCACACGTCTTTCAAGGAGAGCTATGACTATCTGACTGATCACCAACTGCTCCGTTAACGTCTTGATTTTGCGCGTGTGTCTGTGTCCTAATTTGCATTTCAATTGCACCTTCGTAGTATTGTTTCGTGCACCGCTTTGGTCTGATAGAATTGGGATTAAATAAAGTATCTCTTCTCAAGTAGGATTTGTCATGGACCACCTATCAACTGCATGAGATGCCTGTTGAACAGACTCTCAAATTCCCCCTTCACCGTTTAATCCTTTCGAGCATATCTATACACCAAGGAACACATGCGTCATGGCATTTTATGAAGCCCTAATCTCCAGCTTATAATAAAGCATATAAACATTTATGCAACTTGGTTCCCAGGGATTTTGTATCACACTGACTTGTTTCAAATGATGGGACCTAGTCCAATTTAGTCCAAAGTATTACCAAACATGCAAGTCTTGTTGAAGTTAAGACACTTCGTTATAATTTAACACACCTGAATGCCAATGACTAGATTTGAATTTTACCAAAGTAATCCATCAATGACAGACTTAATCTCAATGATCTCTGCAGACAAGTTGCATTGAAGCATTGGCCACACTTGTGGAAAGAACGGCATTATGACGTTGAAAATGCGCGACAAATACCGGTGAACAGCACCAGCAAACCGCGGTTTACATCTTTTCCCTGACTAGCACAAGAGAACCATAGTAAAATTAGCGAGAAATAACTGTTTGTAACTGATGTTGAGCTCATTACTAGTTTGAGGTATAATTATTATTGACTTTGATTTTAATACCCAAAAGTACGTGCCTGTACTTTTATCCCTTGGGGCAAAAGGTTCACGAAAATGTATCTCTTAAAGATGCAGTTATGGAACTATGAGGGTCAATGAATTCCTATTCGGAAGGGAAATTAAGGGATAACGAATAATTTCATTTCATCTGAGTCGTATCATAAAATTGTGCATGATATTTTTCTCACTTCGCTAGTTTTCGCTACGCGCAAACTTCTGTGGGCAAATAGCAAATATTTGTTTGTTCCCTGCAATTTTACTTTGCAAACTTTGCCTTGCTCATCAATAAAATCTTATATTTGTGTGAACGTTAGTTGTTTACTAACAATAGGATGACCTTCGGTCATATTTGTGCATTGCATTTTGAGACATATAACTCGGCATGCCACTCGGTCAGACACGTGTCTAAACGCTTAAGAAGCGCCGTGCTTCGTTATCTTGTCTACAGTGATTGCGACGATTAGTGGGTTATTTTTAATTGCGCAACATAAACAACATGTGTTTTGTAGATACTTGTGCACCTGTGTATTAATTTGGAGTAAAGGGATTTTGACGAGCATATTTGATTTCCTTCCAATCAGCCGACAACTCAGATAGCTCAACTACCTATCCGAAAAAGCACCAGATACCAGTGTTTTGACATTCCAAATCTCCTCAGTGGTGCGCCTTCTAGCGGACCCCTGTCGGCTGTCATCCATGGTGTGGTGACACTAAATGCAGGCATCCGAAAAATCTTGTGGGGAACCGGGCTGCGGTCCGCTGGAAGGTGCACCACTAACAAAAACTAGTATGTCAAAACACTGTTGTCTGATGCTTTTCCGGACTGGTAGTTGAGTTACCTGTATTACTGGCTGCTTACGATGAGCTCAAGAATACATCTGTATGTAATTTAATTTCCATGCTTACTAGGCCAGTACTTACTTCGCCTTTCTCATTGCTACGCATCAAATACGTTAATACGCTGTTTGTTATTATTTCTCATTCGCAATGAATGATGGTACCTTCTTAATCCTACGTACCGTGAAGGGAGTCGTATTTGCCATCTTACCAAATTTCTTAGGTCTGGAGCTGGAGGCGACAGATGGAGGACCGAAAGGCATCAGGCTTTGTCATATTACCCCTGGAAGTCCTTTGGAAAATACGCTGTTCAGTTTGAGGCATCGGTGTCACACCACTTCATCCATGGCGGCTGCACTTGAGGAACCGCGGCTACCACAAATCGGGGATTGGATTCTTTCTGTGGCAGGTCATTCATTGTGCAACGTAAGCGGTCTGAGTGCTCGAATCACACTTCGTCATCTGGTCATGCAATGTGGCTACATTACGTAAGTTGTAATGCTAGTATTTGCCTTATTCACTAAGCCCATAAAAGTCTTAGGAATTAATTCTTCGTTTACTCCAGTCGTCGAATCATCACATTCGGCTCTCCACTACCTAGGAGCCTGTTTACCACGCACTTACGGCGGCCTGACAGTTCTGAATATTTCGTAATTTTACGATGTCACCAATTAGTTCAACTAACTCAATGCTCAGGCCTAACAGTCTATAACCCTGACAATTTCCTTGGTCCATAAAACAACCGTTACATCCATTGAAATAACCATCTAGCATTTGGTTCTTTTGGATAGCATTAGTTTGCTTCACCGATTCGGCCATTTACTACCATTATGAGTTTTGGGAGAGATGAGGTTAATAGGTTACACAGTGCTAACTCCTCCGCCTACAATTTCAGCGTCTAATTATGAAGGCCACAAGTGAATTTCAAACGCTTCCTAACTCACAAGTGACACTACGTTAACTAGTGTTTCTGTATTGTAGTGTACAAAATGAATACACCACTTTACCAATACTCGATGGTGTAGAGGTAGCAGGAACTCCAACCGATAACAGGCTAACACGGGACCATACCAGAACTGTAGCAGAATAAGAACGCTAGCGATTAGCTTATATATGTAGAAAAATGGGTACAGTGGTACCTTGCGCCACCTATTGGAAATGGGAGTATGCAGACTGGTGGAAATGTCGGTGGTCGCTGTTATTTGCCACAGCAAGGTATGTCTTTTACACCTTGACTTCTTACCGTATATGGAATAGTAATTGTATCAAGTATTTTCGTACATATTCTGGGATTTATGGTCAAGCTTACGTTATCGTTTTGGTGTGTCGTTTCTTTCCATTAATTCTGTACTTACATCTTTGCTCTGCATACTGTTAATAATGAATTCATTTGCATATCTACATACGACGATTGGTTACCAAGAATGAATGTTGTTATCTTCCTTTTGCCCACTACTGCCGTCCAAAATAATTAGGACAGATAATGTGAATAATCTAATGATGAAGTGGACCAGTAACTGAACAAATCTAAAAAAATTTCTGCTTTTTCTTCTGACTGTCCCGGCTTTCTTTTTGATTGCTGAATTTCTGTTAATGGACCAGCGGTTCTTTCGGTCTCATTGGAATTAACAAACAAAGGCTTGTTTTTCTGTTATCCATTTCATTTTGGTGAGTTGGTTTTTAATTGCAATAAGTTGCTGATTGTTTTTGCGGAGTTAATAAATGCTTAAACGGCATCATTTTACTTTATTATTAGGACCCCCCAAATGAGCTAATCTGCTGTCCGTTAGCACCCAGAAACTTGAATGACCACAGTTTTATTTATTTATTTCTGCATCAAAACCTTTCGGCATGGTAATAATCTGGTTAAGAAGACACTCTCCGGTTACAGATCTTCAAGTTCTCTCAATCGGTGTTAATGCCAATATGTGTCCATAGCAACTCCTACCAGTAGATTTCGTGATTTCTTAAGTCAAATCCGGTTCCCATCCCATCCATCTCCGTGCCTGGCAAGCACGTATCCTTACTACTCGAGTTGCAGCTACTTCGCCCGGAAATCAGTGGAAGCGACGTTCGGTATATTCTAAAAATAAGGGTCGGAAAGCATTTTTTGTTAAGCATGTGAGCACCGGAATTATCAGACTAAGCAGAATGCGGCAATGTATTGGACAGAATTTCTCATTATTCCTTGGCTCAGCTGCAGTACAAATTATTATTAAGCGCTTCATTGTCCTAAGAATGTGCGATGACAGTTTGTTGTTATGCTTGTACGATGCTCTTTAGACGCGAGCGGTCGCTCAGACTTCCTTTGCATAACTTCCAGAAATGAAAGATATATCTTCTATGCCATAACGATTGTCCACATCGGATGCGTCGGACCTTCATGTTTGCCTTGTAAAGATGGATGATTATCATTTTTGGGCATTTTGTGTGTTGATTATAAGAAGCGGTTATTTCGATACCGATTAACTATCCTTTTGCTTCATCATCAACAACTACACTGGGTGACAGCTGAAACACCATAACTAGATATTTATAACACGGGTGTGGCAAAACATACTTTCAAAAACGTTTATTGTTATCTTCACTTGTATTTCGTGCAAAATGCGTTCCCTAGCTGCATGTTTTGAATCTATCGTAGTATCCCAAGCGTGTACGGCTTTTAGATTTTCGCAGCTATCTGTTTCAAGTTCAAAATTCTAATCTCAAATAGTTATTGGAAATACAACAAGTTTACCTCACCATCGACGATATCTTCCACCAGAATTCACAAGGTGTTTTCGTCTATCTTAGTTCTCTGCATCAATTGTTGCATATATCGGTAATCGTTGCTTGTTGCTTTGCTTTCTATTTGACTTTCGCCTCGAAACCCAGGTGCCGCAGATGACAGAAATCGCAATTTTAGGTCAGATTGTAAAATAGGTCCGAAGGACAGTAGAATATGCAGTCCGTTCAATAATGCATAGAAGCGAACTTTTCTGCCTTGTGTATTTATATGATTTACACTGTAGAATGTCTTCAGAGTTGTAGGCATATGTTCTCTGCATAAAAGCACAAAATATCTAAAGGTTTACTGAACTGCCTTCAAAATGCCGAGAAAAATATCGTGCTTTGCACGTGACGCAGGTAAGATTGCAATGACTCTGCTGAATCCAAGTTAGTAGTAACCCTATAGTCTGATAAATTTTTTAAAATGTTTGAGCAAAAGGATAATTTATAAATAATCGTAGGAAGTATCTTCTAGTTTACAGCAATTCCATTCTTCGTAAATGGATTACAATCACCCTATCTTTGTAAAAGTTAAAGGAATTGATTCATCAGTGTTAATCGCTTGTGAAGCGATCGAATTTTATCTATCAAAAACCGTTTGGCGTAATGTTATTACGCGAGATTTGTGGATAAGGATAGAATATATGTAGACAAAACATCGTTATCAAGGTTCCGGAGCTGAGGAACGTATCAGAGGATTTTTGAAGATAGCCTTGTGTACTATTGACGTATGCTAGTTTTTACATTCATCATTTATGACCAGGACGATAGCGGCGATAAACCTAGAACCATATTATCTCAAACGGTATTCACATAATATTTATGCGTTTACCGTTTCATCCTACTTACCAAAGACGAGCAGTCTTTTTGTATGGTTTGTAACGGTGCCGTCCTCAAATTAGGCTATTGGAAGTCCAGGATTTAATTCGGTGCTTTTATTAGGGAATCTGCACATGAAACCCATACTAGGTTACGCATCTGATCGTGTACAGGAGCATGTAGCTAGGCTAAACGGAACTACCATTGTTTCTAAAATGGTGACATTTAAGACATGGTTAGCTACTGAATAAGGGGTACTGAAATTGTAGAGATAGTAGATATACCTCTGTGTCGCCCCAAGGTAGTTCGTTCGGGCACGTTCACGGAATCACATCACTGATATTGCGGGTTTGCCGTAGATTACAGCTGCGTCATACGCCATTCGGATGCGATGCGCCCCCTTAATCCGCAAAGTATAATTCTATGAGTTTCTTTAATTTCAACATGGATTTTGCCTCTACTATTTTCTCGGGAAACCGTTCCAGTAGTTCAACACCCGATACGCAATGCATAGAGTGCGCTTAACCCATAGCTTGTACGGACATCCACGAGTGCTGCTTAGTGCGTCAGCGTGAAGCAACGGTCGCCACATGGGGAAGTGACCTAGATGCAATATCTGGTGCGTTAATATGAAGCAAACTTTAAACCGAAGACACGACAGGATTCAGTGCCCTAGTCGTCTGCATCGGTCTTTGTACGACACCCCATAAACTAAGGATTGGCGTGGTAGCCATGTACTAAATGCGTTCCAGTTTGTTGCTCATCGTTACGTATAGTTTAACAATTTGAGAGTAAAGAGCACTCATACATCGATCTTGTGATGGAAGCCATGAGGGATGTGGCAGTCAATACAAACCAAAAACAGCAGCTGCGATTCAGCGCAGCATACCAATTTTGACTAATACGACGCCTTGAAAGATTGTAAATATCTTTGAAAATACAAATCCTCGAAAAATAGAAAACTGTATCCAGTTTATAAGTGTAGTCAGCAGGAGCTATATTACCTAAACTCAGTCAACTTATCTATAATGCGCTCATTTATCCTATGGCATAACATCCCTTTAACCTTCCTTTACACGTAGTCTTATCAAATTTGGCGTCTGGTGACACCTTTCATGAATGCTTAACAAAGCATTTAGTCATGCGTTTCATTTTTAAACCATTTCGTCGTAGTGAATTTCTAAACTAACTTTTATTATAAATTTATAATCCTCTATTTTAAAAGTGCAACCGTTTCTTGCGCTACTTCGGCCTGAAAAGTTATCCGTCTTATCATGTATCTGGAAAGCTGGTTATTTACAAGCAGCAAAATCACCACTGTCTAACTTCTTGTACCTGGTGGCACAGAAACCGCTACTATTCATTTAAAGTTCACTTAACATTAGGCGTACAAAATCGCAGATATTTAATGACAAAAGAACAGGTCATCTCCAATATTTATGGAAACTTTTATCAGCAGTTTTAGTATCTTAGGAGAATTGTTATTTTCAGTCACATAACTGTGATCCTCAGCAAAAGTTAGCGGTCTTGCAAGAGTTTACTTATCTCGAGCAAATTAGATGATTCGGTAATTCTGATCTAAGAAGGATTTTCTGAACAACGTAAGTTCAGTTGCACTAACGAGATCAAGATTGTTATTAATTGTTCCCTTTGGCTGTGTATGCTTGGGAAACACATTTCTTATAGTTGAATTTCTATATTTTGCAGTCCAGTCGTTAAACAATGTTCGGTCCGTTACATTTTATGCTTTGTTAAATTGTGATTGTTAAAAATATGTGTGTTCATGACCAATTACTTTTAAGTATCTTCTATTACTAAATGTGCATGTTTCCACAGAAGCATTTACAATTTTATTTGCAAAAGATAAAAGGTTTCCTCCATTTTATGTTTTAGATTAAGTTTAGTATATGTTGGCTTAATTATGCATGCAGTTTCGCGACTCTGGTTCTAACGGTCTTTTAGATGATAACGGACATTTATCACTTTAATACACAGAATTTATGCAATAAACTTCCTTACAATGATTCCACTGGCTGGTAAACTTGATCAACATTTTGAACTGTTTAGTTATCGATTAAGTGTTATCTGGATTGATTAACTACTGGTTTGGAACCGTTAGTTCTCTGTAGTTGATTAAACGGTAGAGCAAGAAGACAAAATTCGTTAGATGCATGCATTTCGAATCGTCTCTTCCGCATCGGTATCGATAACTGCTACTTATATGCAATAATTCGACGAAGCAAACATATATGAAGACAAGCAGGAGGGAAAGAGGATTTGATGACCATTGATCTAGTGCATCCTGTAGCGAAACCATATGTACTGTTGAATACGATGCCCAGGTTTAGTCCGGATTATTGCACTAGTCTCAGCGAACCAGATGCTGTGAATTTGTATCGCGCAGCAAGAAACCTGAACGTGGTGCAGACCACAACACGATGACCATAGGTTAACATTTTTTGCCGATCGAAGATGTCTGCGGCTGGCGTGAAAACGTAAAGTGAATTGCGCCTGCTGGCTGAGCAAGAAGTTTCTTCTTCAAGGTAATTGAAGGTCCAAGCCGTTCTGTCTAAGTAGCTATCCTATAAGTTGCATTGCGTTTTCCGGTGGGACTCGTCTTACCCTCAATCCAATGGTTCTGCTTGTTAAGTCATCCTAAAGCACTGATATGATTTAATTGGCGCGTCTTTAATATATTTCAGGTGTTTTCCTTTAAGTACACCCACCAGGTTTTGAAAAAAATTCTTCTCACATTCGAAGTGCAACTGACCGTGAATAGACAAGAGCCCTTTATATTATTAGACATGCTGACTGCATTACGCTTGGTAGGTAAAAAGCTTTGTCATAAACATTTTGTCTTACGGCCCATAGGTTATAGATTACAAATACTTCTCGAAAACTTATGATTATTCTTTTATGTAACGCAGAGAAAAGCTCAATATTTATTACGTTCTTTGAACTGGTTTATAGTTTGGATGACATGCTCCAAGTTTGTTGTAGTAGGTTTTGGTCGCGTGCAAGTATAAATTTCTCTCTTCCTCTTTATTCTTTATAGTATCAAATACGCTCCTGGAAACTCGCATGCTCATTAATAGTTTTCACAATCTTCCTCAAGTTTGAGTATACACCCGATTGAACAGAAGAATCGTGCAAGTTTCCCCGAAGTAATTCCAGACATGGTGGAATTACTATCGCTTTGCCATAAGTTCCTTCCTTAATGCTTGGTCGATCAAGAGAGCTTCAAAAGTCGACTATTACAGACCGATTGCACATACTTCGCTTTCTTTGGTGCATTACATCTTTCCACGCTATATGAACCCAAGACTTGATAAGGTTTTTTACTATATTATCAAAGACTTATTGATAAGAGTTTACTGCAACTCTTCTGCGGCACAGAAAAAAACAACCATTCACTGCAGATGGTTTCAATTTCTTACAAAGCTGGAAATATACAATCATTTTGTTTGTATAGTACATAGAAACCTTTGTCCATATAATTGATCTCATTTGCAGCCATCTGTCAACTGGCATGCATGTTAAGGATAATGTCTTTTTTTAACTCAAGGAAGTGTTTTTTTGCACCTATGAGGGGCAGATATTTAGCTGGAACACACAAGCATTCAGCAGTGGAACCTGTTATGAATGAAAGTTTACATTGTAGATTAATAAAAAGAAAAATACACTACCACCATCGTATAATCTGGTTGTTTAGTTATTGAACGATGGTTAGGATCTTTTACATTGTCGCTAGATTAGAAACTGTCTAGCGGTAAGATCATGTTCGAGCATACGTGGACTTATACTTCACTCTGGCTGAAGAGGTCGTCACACATTTCGCCAATACACACCGAAGGGGGGACGTGTGTTGACAAGTATAGTTAACCCTAGTCTCTTGTAAGAAATGAGATGGGTGGATAAAAGTATATAACCAAAGAGCCTTGATATATGCCTACTTCGCGATAAGTGTTTTGACGATACAACGATTAATCTGAAGTGCGTGCTCAATGGACCAGGAAAAGCACTGCTATGCAGTACGTTCAGTGTAAACATACGTAGGCATTGGTAAAAGAGTATCCCAATGTGTGGGGCAAATGAAGCTAGTAGACGTGAGGCCTTGAAATATAGTTCCCTGACTAATATGAGCCTTTCGTTCATATGGCGTGACCAAGGTAAATCTAGCTAAACATAACACCCAGGTTCTTTACTGATACGAAGAATGCAACCTCTAACATTCAATGGCGGGTTCCGGGCACTGTTGGGAAACTGTTGATAGCAATTTCCTCTATGCAATTTAAAAGCAACATCATTGCACATTGACTAGTTAAGTGCCTGCTTGCGGGTATCCGTACAAAACATGTGATGTTTGAGAATATCTTGTACTCTGACTGAGGAGGCAGTTTCATATGCGTACTTCATCAGGGTCGCCTTCTTAGGAGCTGGTATTGAGCTGTCAAAATAGTGGTGACAGATTAGTCACCAGAACATTAGCATTGTTTGTGAGTAGAAGCAATAGGATTCTGTCGCCTTTTCAAGTGATCTCATTCCAAACGGTAACAGAAGCCCTCAGCAAAAAAGATAGAAGAATGTACCCCTGAACCGAGTAAAGCCTTCGGCAGCAATTCATGGTTTTCGATTCTGAATACTTTACTGAACTCCAAAATACATCCTCGGAGGAATTTGATTCTATTGCCCATTATTATCCAAAATGAGTGAACAAGTCAAGCTACTATAACATGTGCTGACCTCGAACCTCACTAGGTAAACTGAACAGAATCATTTGCTTGCTTTTATATCAGCATCTTTCCAAGAATGATTTTCTAGAAATTCTTAGGGCTCACGAAATTCAAGCAACTAATCGATATCTACTTTGGCCCTTTTCTGTAGGCCTGATATTTACACCCCTGCAGCAATCGGAAATAATATGCTGTTGAATACACAATATACACGAAGTGGTCAGAAATTTGGTCATGTAGCATTAAATTACTTGGGGACAACGCGTGACAGTCTCTTCGGACAGCTTCTTTGCCCCAATTATCTTCTTCTCTATGTCGCCGTTGACGGAGCAGCGAATGTAGCAACAATTTTGGTTAGGCGAATGATGAGTAGGAGATCGGGTGGTTGTAACAGTTTCACAAATTAAGGTTCAGTTTTTCCACCTCAGCCTCAGAGGGTGGTATATTTCGAGAACGCTCGCTTAGTTATATCATCATCCTCCAGATTTCGCGGCAAATACATTCCCGACATATAGTCTGTAAGTACACGTTATCAAGATGGCGCAACTCCCACTCTATAACAGCAGAAGTTGACGTTACTTAGGTGTTGGGTTTTCTTTTGAAAGCTTTCAGCTTTTCTCTACGTAACCGCCTCTGAAGCGGGAAGATAATTTGTACACATGAATGGTCAAAATTTCGCATGGACAGTAAAAGCCAAAACAGAAGTGCAGATAGTTTGTCAACAAGTAGCAATAACTAGACACACTTGTCAAAAAATAAATTACATCCAATGAATGATACCTTCTCTGGCATTCGGTAAGTTTGCTGTGCAAAACATTACTTCCATCTGAGCTTGCGATTGCTGCAATGAGTAGTCTCGTTATTGTCGATCCTAGAGTAGACGACACGACGGAGCTTAACAGTTGAGTGATCAGGGTTTCCAAGCAGTGCCACAATACAGATGGCGATTAGCTTCAACTTACTAACGATGATTAGCTTCAGAGTCTGATTGGATCTGCGGGACAGTTAATGGTGTTTTGTAGCTAATAGCTACTGAGAAAAGCGGTGTCAACATGGTTAATATCACGAGCAGAAATAAGTAGGGAACATTCGTTATGTCCTATGACAACTAAAGTAATGTTGCAACAACCCTTGCCTCGATTTTCGGAGAAGTGGGGAAGTATAGATTTTATCTAGCAAGACTGAGTAGTACCTACCTATGCTTCTTGAATCGCAACTCAAAACTAAGCAGTTAATAAGTTGTGAATGGAACTAATGTAATACTATCGTATATATGCATTATGGAGTGTTTAACATCATAATCGTCATCAACACACCTTAGCCGTTGTTGAGAAACACACCTCAGCTAATGTGCCGCAATAATAAATGGTAAGAGCTAAGCAATGTTGACAAGAAGTTCATAAAAATGTAAAATGATAGTAACACTTTTGTGATCGATGTTGGAGAGAGAAGATAAAGGGAATGAGAGCGACTAAAAGACCCACGACACAAAAGTTATTTAAGTCGACTCTCCGCCATGTCGGTTAGTGTACTCAAGCAGAGGTGTTCATTATCCTTAGGACCGCAAGCAGGCAATCGGGAAACACCAACCGACGCTAACTTCCGAGGGAGGGATTACATTCCTCTTTACCAAGCCATCGCTTGCTATCCCTCCCGTTTTCACATGCACAACCAAGCCGAGCAAACAACCTTTGTCGCAGGCATCGTTGCGCTGGCATGCGCAACATGTGGTCCGGTCATCGGAGTAGGATGTATAATATAAATGGTGCTGAGTAGCTCACTCGCTCCTCCTGCAACAATACGCGAGGCCAAAGGCACTCATTGCTGAAGCGATGACTTCATCAGACATGGGCGAAGTTGGGAAAACACCTATGATCGAACGGAAATATCCTCTTCAGGTCTATTGGCATGATAACCCGGGTTTCACAAACTTACAGGAGGGTTGTGCAGACGGCTGCATTGTAAACTCTGCTGTCCAGGTTGACAGTAATGTCACCTCGGCGCTACGGATGGAGGAGATTGCCAACTGCGCATCTAGCTTTTGCTTTACGGTTCGTGATCTCATCTTCCGTTCCACTATCACTGATATAGCTGCCCAGACACCTACATTTCCCGACGACTTCTAGATGATCACCGTCAAGGGTCAGTGCAGGAGTGGGTCTCTGCCAATCTTGGAGGCGAACCTTGCATTTTTATGATGGAAATCATAGCCCGAAACGTGTGAGATCCAGAGCTAATCTATCTAGTGCAACTTGTCACGTTCTGAAGCTGTCCAGATGACCACAATATATTCATCAAATTTCATTTCGAGAAGTCGGCACGAAGGAGCATATCCACGCCTAATTCGTCCCCCGCGAACGCCGTTTCTATGACTTCGTCGATGGTAAAGTTGAAAAGAAAAGGTGGCAGCGCACAAATTTGTCTCACACCGCTGGAGATATTGTATTGAAGCGCAAGCTTCCCGTTCCTCATCACTCTGCCCGAGCTACGCATGTATAGCGCCTGGATAATGTTTACATAATTATCGAGAACACCTTTCTTAAGTAGACAGTCCCAAAGCGTCTATCGATCAATCAAATCGAGGCTGCTTTTATATCTAGGAATATGAATATAGCGGGCCGCCAAAATATGTGACAGTGCTCTATCTACTGACGTAATGTGAGGTGATGTTCAATGCTGTCTCGACTTCGATGAATATTGGCTTGTTCCTCTCACACCTGCCTTTCACAAGTGCCAGTTAGCTCATGAATCCGACAGACGCGTGATTTGAGACAATGGAGATCAAACTTGTTCCGCTATTATTGTCTCGTTCGAAACGGCATCCTTCATTATGAACTGTAACTATTGCGGAGCGGCTCCACTCTGGTGGGACGGTCTCCTGTTCCCATATATTTAATAGTAAGTTATGTAACTCGTCCAAAGTGTCGTTCCCCCACATTTGTAGAGAGCTGGCTTTTTCCTCTGCTCCGGCGGCTTTGTTCACTTTCAGCCGTCAGATATCTCGTTAGATTTCTGCGCGTGAGAGTGGATCCAAGGGGAGGGTCTAGGGAACAGGGCTCGTATTGGCCGAGGTAGACACTGGCAAGTCTGAGGGATTAAACTGCTTTACAAATTGTTCTGCCCAAAGCTCCAAACGCTTTGGCAAGCCCTGGTTGCGCTGTCCAATCCCATCGCGTATGGTCTCGCTAACAATATTTCTCTTTCTGCCCGTTTCTCGCATCAGACATAATAACTTCCAATGGTTACCAAGGACACCGGATGTTTCTATCTTGGAGGTAAAGTGAGCTCATTAGACTTGGTGGTCTTTCTTCAGGCTAGCAGGTAGTCTGGTCATGAGAGCTTTGCAAGTCACGTTGTAT